GGCCTTAATGTCATTGAGATTAGAGCAAAAATCTCAACAGTTCCACTGTGGCCATTTTTATGTAGGTTTAGGAGAACAGGGTGGAGAACCCTTTGGTTTATGACCATACCATTTTTCTTTACTAGATGGAGGTCGATTGACCTCCATGGATCCTGCCCTTGATCGAGTGGGCAGATCTCTGTCATCAGAGTGAGAATCCAATGACTGAGGACGTGATCGCATGATCGTTCTGCATTTAGGGGCCAAAAAAGGACCCGCACGGACACCAGAGGCCTGTGCCCAAGGAGGTTGACCCAGGCAGTCACTGGAAGGAACAGTGGAGACAGAAATTGGAATAAACATAGACCTATCAACTCTATTATCCATGGAGGGCAGAAGACCTCTCACATGGCATGAAAAAGACTCAGATGGAGGCACAGAAAGGTCCATCTGCACTCCCACTGTAGCAGTGGAACGTAGTGCAGTGGCATATGTCCAAGATGGAGTAGGGGACAATAGCTTCCAAGCCTCTGGATAAAAAATGTTGTGAACAGTCTTCAAATGCTGTACCTCTTTCTCCTCCATCCACTCAGGGTAAGACCTAAAGTAAGAGGGGTGGGAACCACTACAATTAACACAGTGAGGGTCCAGTTTGCAATCGTAGGCATCGTGGTCCTTGCCACCACATCGAACACACATCACAGAACCACGACAAAATGTCTTCGAATGACTGAACTGCTGGCACCGAAAACATTGGAGAGGGTTGGGAATATAGGGCCGTACCTTACAGTTCAAATAACCTGCCTTAACAGCAGCAGGTGGATGTGGTGATTAAAACGTAAAATTAAGAACTGAGGTCGGGAACCATAATACCATCTTGACGAGTGGAGATCCTTCAAACTGCTGAAACTCCTTGACTGGAGAAACCAGCAAAGATCTCTGACTCGGGGATAGACTTCAAGATGGATGTTTCAACCAAGATGTCTCCAGAATAGAGCTTCTTAACTGACTTTGGAGAGCCAGCAAGCCCCTCTAAGCACTTCTGAATAAAAAAGGGAGACATTTACACTAAAGATTTATCGAATAGTGAATGCAAGATCAGAAAGCAAGGTAAAGGTCCACCTTGTGATGGAGACTGCTGTTCAGAGTCTTCTAGGCATGGTCGTTTACCAATAAGCAGAGTTTTTACTATTTTTTTATTTCAATTGGGGGTATCCATAATTAAGAAGAAAGTTTCAGTGCCCACTGACCCCACCCATATGGAGTCCTACGAGGGGTCGCACTACAATGTCAAACAAGGACACTGCAGCAACGCCAGGGTTTCGTGAGCACTATACCCAAACACCAGCATCAGACACGATGTCCACAACACCCATTGAGAAAGCCCAACACTGATACTCAACTGACCCTAGCCCGAGTGTACCAGCCGATTGACCCTGGGGGTGGCCACCCCAAGGCCCCCGTCTACAGGAATTCAAGGCCAAAGTTGTGTGTTGCAGTGCCCCAGACACCACTCAACCACCAGGATCCTCTCCTCCCCTTGACGAGTCGCCATGCACAACAAACACGTGAGTGGATGTTTAGATCCCAGAGGAAGTAACTGAAAATACAGAACCTTCCCTGGGAGGTCCCCTCACCACATACAGGAATCCACGTCGAGGGGCAAAAAGTACTGTCAATCAGGGCAAAAACATCAGGGGAAATTGCCTTGGATACTGAATATTACTGTATAATTCACTGTTCGGAACCATAATGATTATAACAACTATAGCCCTCTTCTCGCTGAGTGGGTACACATGGGCTAAAAAGCATTATTTTGATTTTCAAAACCAATTCAGGATGTACATTAGTGAATCTGGAGGAATGACACACCAGAGACAGTGCAATAGGTGTCTGCAATTCTCTATTTTGAAAGGAAGACAGACTCCGATTGCAGGAATCACAGGTTAGTAGGGATGGGCAGAAATCCCCATCTGCTTTGCTCATGAGGTGTATGAGTGATGGTCCTTTATAAATGAAACTAGTAACTTTTAGTGAAAAACAATATAGATACACACACCACTGGACATGCTGCTGGTGATCTTACATAAACAACCCATCTCAACAGTGAGCATTATAGAATTATTCATATTTAGTGCAAATGTACTATGAAACATACCTGACCAGGCAACAGCAGGTGGGATCCTGAAATATGATATGCATCAACTAAAAATATATAGGTAAAGTAATAAGTCGACTTACCCCAGTCAAAGGTGAACAGACATGTGTAGAATTGCCAGAGGAGGAAGACATGGTATGGTTAGGTCATGCAGATAAGGTGCAATAAATGAATTGAGAATTATCCACATTCCAGACTGAACAATCACCTCCAAGAGCAACCTTTCATGGACAAATCAGAATATGCCAGTTGTATGAGTTTACAAATCCAAACAGTGAGTGCAATAGAGAACACAGAGGGGATCCTTGGCACAAACAGACAGGAATGATAACATGAAAGGAGGCAGTATGAGCCACTAATATCTCTGGGAATGACTGTACAAAGAAGTCTATCTGGAACTGAATGGGAGTACAAGTGGGAAATGGAAATAGGAAAGAAGGCCAGCAGATGTCTAGGGGGAAAAAGGCTGATCAGAATAGAAGATAACATAAGAGGAATGGGAAAGGATGCAGGAAACATCCATGGCATAAATATCAGAAAGGAGGAGGAGTAAGAGTACTTAAGGAAAAGATAGCACAAGGAACAAAAAAGGAGGAAAATAACAGGGGAGGAGAAAGCTTTCTGGAAGGTGTTTAACTAGAAACAGGTGACACGAACAAACCCTGATCAAACAACCAGACAGAGAACTGGGAAAATAGGGTACCGAAGGACAGGTTGAGCAGAGACCACAATGAATGTACCAAGGTCTGAAGTTAGACCACTGCCTCTGGTACACAGACAAGGAGGAATGTTGAATGGAATAGGAAAGGAAAGACACTACATAAGGGTTGAGTCCCTAATCTGAGGTAAGGGGGCCAGACAAAAGCCATGTGTCAAGATGGAGTTTGGTGATGTCGGAATGAACTATATCTGATTGCGATTATTAGAGGAAATACTGGGCCAGTAAGGGCTAGAGCAGAAGTAACCACATATGAGCAGAACAATACAGATCAACAAGCAGGACACAACAAGGAGTGGTCTGGATAAGGGAAAAGACTCTGGAGAGGAGTCTGATCGGAGAGTAGGCAAAGTAAGGATTGTTCTAGAATGGTAGAGGGAGCTAGCTGAACCAGTATAGATGGTGCAGTACAATTGGTGGAGAGTAGTCACATGATCAGCACATGTTTTGAAAAGGTACAAAACTGATGGGGTATAAAGACTGGTGCCCTGTAGCAGAATATTTTCTTGTGATGCTTGGAGGGCAGACCAGGATTGAGATAGTACTGTTTCATAATTAAGAATCTGGTGTTTATGAACTCAGACATAAATTGTTTGTTTGTAGTTATGCACAAATCTACACAATGAGCTATCTGTGCTCTGCCCACCACAGGTATCGAAACCCGGTTTCTAGCGTTGTAAGTTTGCAGATATACCGCTGGGCCACTGAGGGGGCCAACATGTATACAGATCTGTCAGTTGCATAAATACTTGATTTTCTTGATACCTTGAATATTAATTTAGATTATTCTTTATTTATTTAATTTTACTAAAATTGTTTTGGCAGATATCATGGTTGTGTATTGAAGAGAAACAAATGGTTGTCATACAGGAAAAATTTGTGTGGCCACAAATTCCTTTTTTTATTGTTCGACCCCAAACAACCAGATAACTCATAACCCTATGTGCATGGCTGGGGTTTAAAGTGTGCAAGTCATAACCTTTTACAGTGTGCCATTCAACATAGTGTTATTTATTTGATGTCAGTTTCAATTATTCTTTTTACACTACACTGCTGATTTCGCATCAGTTCATGGTAGAGTAGATTAAATATCAGATGTATAATAGGATACTAAAAAACTGCATTTTGTGGGTTCTAAAGCTTATGCAAATAATATGCCAACTGTACAATGGAAAAAAAGTATTTTTATTCTTCAGATGAACATCACCTTGCACTCCAACTTGTCAGAGTCCGAGTCAGACTGATGTCACCACTTCACAAGCATATCTTGAGCACAAATACATTCATAACTCATCTGATATTTTTTCTATGCAAAAGACTTGTACCTTTTACTACAAGCTTGCCACATTTCACGTAGATACACATAATAAATTTGGAATTATCGTCAATATTCCTTCTCCAATACATGGTCAGTCAATGGGCTGGGCCTGTACACATTCAGTTAACAAGGGTGTTTAGTGGTATAGTAATTCAAGTACTTGGGCTATATACACATCACAGGTATGGGCAAAAATGGTAAATAAGCAGCTAACATAGAATAATTCTCCTGTTCCAGATTCCATGGATCTTGAAGAATAAATAACCAGATATAATAAACAGTCTTTAAACTGAGAATCAAACAAAATGACATAAAAAATAATTTGAGAAACGTATTTGAATTCAACCATATGTTGATCTGTAAGATGTCCTCTAATGGGAACTGAGATTGGGAAGTCAAAGACATTGCCAAATAGCATGTGAACTCCATGTAAACTGAAATTCTCTTCCAAGATGTTCAAGCACAAAACAGATCAGCTGCACAAGCCAGTCTGTCGGCATGGATGGAGCAAAATCCCATTTGGGATTCATAAGTGGGCTCTGTACCACTAGACCTTTAGTTCTGTGCACTTTAGCAAGTTCTCACAATAAATGGGGGTATCCAACTGATAAAACAATGTATTCTAATGCTTACAAGTAAGAATGTAATAACAGTATATTTAATTTGCTATGCTCATCACCAGATTGATTTTTAGTTGTGATCTAAGCAGAATGTTTGCTTGCTTTGATCAAAGGTTATTAACTACAACTCTTATGATAATATTCTTTATCAGCTGTTGTGTTTCATTTTCAAAAATAGAAATATGACCTGTTGGAACTGTTACACACCTTATTTCAGCAACTCTCTCATTTTCTAACTTGTTCTGTTCCATGAGGTAGGCATGCTCAGATACTTCTTCTTTCATTTTCTCAGCAACAGCGATACTGAGTCTAGTTGTTTTCTCATATTCACACTGGAAAAAGTGCCTAAAATAATATTCTTACTTTAAATGTATATAAAACATTTATATTCTGTAAAAGCACAATATGTTTAGTTATAAAAAATTGATTTCTACACATTTTATGAGTACTACTTCAAACTGATTCCAAACACAATCATCACAGCAAGTATTCTAAAGAAAAAAAGACATATTTTGCAATTCATACTTTTGCAAGATAGCCATATTCATATACAAGATAGGTTGACATTAAAAATGAACAATGTATATTTATTTTCACAAGGTTTAGCACTCGAATAAGCAGTGAGAGATAACTTTCTTCCATGTAAAAATATTTTTATTGTAGGATCAAAGATTAATACACATCAAACAAAATGAATATCAGTAGTGAACATCTTTTCATAGAAAGGAGAGTCAACATATTTTTTGCAAGAATATAACAAGCACTTGTAATAGAACTATGTTTCTAAAAACCTGAAATCATTATAAAGGCTGTCAAAAGAAAGCATATCTACATAGTAAATTACGTCAACTTATTTTTCTCATTAAATTCATCTAAAATTGCAGTCTATAGCTTCAGATGTGGGGATAATTATCATATTAAATCAAATCATTCCAAATTAAAAGGAAGTATCTTCACAGGTTTAAATATTTTAAGTTACAAGTAATCAAATATGTATTACATGTATCTTATTATATGCTACATCTTCAGACATTCAATATCAGTTCTAACAGAGTCAACTACATTACAGTATAAGTAATTCAGATAAAAAAAGCAGTAACACGAACTTAGGAATTCATCATAAATGGTGAAGATTTAGAAAAAAAGAGAGAAGAAACAAAGTTATTGCTTCAAACTATAGAAATAAACTGTAGTAAAATACTGAAATGATATCTCTACTTCACAGAAATATTAAAGAAAAAACATGTGAAGAGAGCACAATCAAAAACATCTCCACTAGATCACTGCCTAACGAGAAGTGATAGTTCAGTAGCATCAAATAGTCACATACACCAGGAGGGTGTATAGCACTCCTTTTGGTAGAGGGTTGTCACATGGTGATTTACATGTGAGATGCACTTGAACCACGTTGATTGTGGGGTACTTGGGAGTTCAAGGCTTGTGGCATGAAAAAAAGTTGTTGCATATAGAGGGCAGCACTGAACAAGAAAACTATACATGTATCGAAAATATACAACCATAAATGAAAAACATACATGAAATGCAAAAAAAATCAGCATTTAAATCTGGGCTGGAGCCTTTTGTACTCAATGCTATGGTGCAGTAACCCTACTCTTTTTCATATATGTTCAATAACTATTCACGCAGCTTTCAAACATGCATTTTAGAACACAAAAAAATATATCAAGTACTAGAACAGAATTTCCCATAACTACTAGAATTTCCTTTCAACTGTAAACAGATAAAAAAAATTGTTAGCTACTCAGAGTTGAACAACAATGATCACAAACAAAGAACTTAATGCTATGTGTCTATATATGACTACCAAAAAGAACTAATCATAACAAGCTTTCTGTAGAAAACAAAATCTTCATTCTATGGGTTTGAAAGTGAGGGAAAGGGTTTGATTAATTTGTTATCAATATCTCAGCAAACCAAGAAGAGATTCAGATTTAATATCTTGCTTGTAATTATGCATATTTTGTGTTGGACATTCTGAAAGCCATGTTTGGGTAGATTTACCATCCATATGGGAAAATTCAGTGAGCAGACATGATAAAGAGAAGTGATGATTGAGATATTTTAAATATTTCTTTTTGAAATTAAGAAATTAAAGCATATAAAATATAAAAATTTGAAATATAAAATACTCTGATAATAAAATTATTTAAATAAATTTAAATGTATCTTTGTTAAAGGTCATGACATGCTCAATTTGACCCTACTATGTACATGGACTTAATCTATTACAAAATATAAAAGTTTTAATTATTGTAGGTTTACCTTACAAGTCTTGAAAAAGAATATGGAATAAGCAATAAAAAAATCCAGAGACTAATCAGATAAAATTACTGTTATTATGGTGACAACACCCTAAATTCTCAACAGAGATCCTGGCCTAACAAAAGGCTAACAGCTCTTAGTTACCAAACTCCTATGGCTTTTGGATATACACATTTGAATATTTTTCTTAAGAGGATGCTTGAGAAAGTCCAATGTTTTTACATTGCATTGCAAAAAAAAAAAAACACAGGGTAATTTGAACCAGTAGGTCTTGTAACATCTGCATTTCAGAAATGCAGTGGTTATTTTTTTGCATTTTATTCAAATTTCTTGCATACATAATACAGAATTCTATATAAATGAAACCTTTGTCCATTCATCAAAGTTCTAAAAATTATCAGATTACATGAACACTTATATGAGAAAACACCTGCAGCTTCAAAATTTCATAACTCTCCAAGAATGTTATCATGAAACAAGAAACATTGTATAATGCATAATAATTTATTTAATTTCTTACTTTATATGCTGATTTCACTTTTAAAATGCAGTGTTTTTATATATTTTCTGTACAAGTAATAAATGACTAAATGCTTGGTCCTCGGAAGGCAATGGTTACAGCCATCTAGTTTCCTAAGGTTTATGTATTGGTTAATATTAATGGATCATGCATAACCTACATCCTAAAAATGTAAAACTTATTATCAACTAATGTATTAGGAGAATGTATGAAAATAAATTACTGATAATATAAACGTAATACCTACATACTTATATTCTATTAGTTGTAAGAGTATTATTATTTTGACTGTTAAAAAGAATGGAGCTTTTGTGAGTTACATATAAAAACCACATTTACATGTAACAATAAATAACTTCAGAAGAAATAATTTCAATAAATAACTCATAATTTAAACATTACAAAAATTATTAAAACTACTTTTAACTCAGTGAACTTAATATATCTTGTACTGAACAATCTCACACAATAGGAAATCAGAGCCTGCAGCTAGAGAGCTAATGGATCTGAGCACGTAATTTATGAAAAGCATCCATACCCAGTATAATAGATGCAGCTAGTGTTCCAGATGTAAAGTTGTTTGAACATGTACACATAACCAAAATTATTTCCAAAAGCACAGTGGATTTTAGTGTACATTTTTAAAGACGTGTTCTTGGTTATCATAATCGGCCATAACCATATATATTAATCAACTGATTTCCTTCTACATACAAAAATAAAAAATAATTACTTTGACAAATATCAAAAGGACTTTTGAGTACTTTTGACAAATTTCCAGAATTCATATCTTTGAGACTGTGCTACTGATTGGTAATGAAAAAAAAACTGTGGTAAATAAAACTTTTTGGCTGAAGCTTTCCACTGACTTTATCTTGGGTGTAAATATATCATAGTTAGATTTAACAAAAGTTAATCATGTAAAAGTTAACAAAAGATGCACATCACTATGAAAGTAACTGTGAAAAACTACATTAATTACAGTTAATCTACTATTCATGAGTTTGAAAGCTTGTAATAAATAAATACACATGTGGTGTTACCCAGAAAGAATAATTTTATTGAATTTTTTCCAAAATTTGAAATAAATTCTCTATTCATAAAAGCATGATGATGTTTAACTTAATTATTTATATAAGTAAGGATATTTGGTTTAGAAATAAGCCAGAAACAAAATGGATGTCGGAAAGTTTTATGCAGAAAAATTACAAATACTAAGTTTCCAGTAAACATTCCTTGCAAAGCTCAATCAGATGTCACAGAGAAACATTCCATTCAATACACATTTATTATCTCCTCCAGAGGTATGATTTAAGATTCAAATTAAACTAAATTTATATCCTACCTCATCATACAGAAACAATTATATTTTTCATAAGACATTAGTATTAGGCTTATGTTTTTTTAAAAAAAGCATTCTTTATCTAGTCCCTTAGGGATTTTCAAACATTAGAAGAGTGTATAATAATAGTATTCCAACTACAGTCATTGCCAATGACAAGTTTCACTCAATACAAAGCTGATTAGGCTAACTGGGACCAAACGAACACAGCAGTGGTCAGAGCTCTATTTATAAAAGCCATTTGTTGCAAGAACAATTGCTATTTAGAATCATATATGGCCTTTTCTCTACAATAAAATACTTTTATTGCGAGCTTTCTTCCCTCTTACCAGAGACTTCGTCAAGAAACAATGTATTGTTGCCCAATGAAGGCAAGAGGGCATAAAGCTCACAATAAAAGTATTTTAACATGGAGAAAAGTCCGGTTATAATTCTACATATTAATTTACCTATTTTATGAGTCTTAAACAACAATTGTTATGGTGTGAACACCTTTTCCAACTGATGAAGCATGATTACAATCAATGACAC